GCCCCCCTCAAGGATTGAACTCACAACCCTGGGTTTAGCAGGCCAATGCTCAAACCACTGAGCTATCCCTCCCCCCCCAAGTGCCACACCAAGCAGGCATAGGTTACCTTTGCAGATAGTTGTGGTGGTGTTTGTCCATGGGGCCCCCTTCCGAATCCCATTCCAAGGCCCCTACCAGTGACCATGCACATACAACGGGGGATCCTGGCAGTAGCCTGGGTTGCAGGTGCCTAACGCCGCTGCTGCTCCATCAGACTAACTGGGGGCTCACGGTGACATTCTGTGGCCATGGAACCTGAGCACCACCCATGTTGCTTTACAATGGCTGTCGTGCACATCAGTGACTCTGCTCCTGCAACTTGCCAGGGCTCCTTCTGGGTATTTGGTGCACCGCTAGGGAAATCCAAAGGCTCTGCAGGGGAGGAAAAGTGGCCTTGTAATTTAAGGCTGTATCGTCATAATGTATCTGCACAGAGAGGCTGAGGGGCATGAGGGACGCACTTTGATAGTGAATTTCATGGATACTTGCTGCCAGCAAAGAAATGTTGAGACATGGGAACCTTAAGTCCCATTGCAAGTTGTAGCAGTCACAGACCTTTCTGCCCTTGTCCTCTCCAGCATCTCTCAGTCCCATCTCTCCACCCCCTGTCCCAGTCCCAGCTGTGAGAAGCAATTGCAGGAAAAGTCCTGCTCGGCCCTGGGTTGGAGCATCCTCAATACAGACAGTCTTCAGAGAATTTAGTTGCCAAATACTTAGGCTGCACAGCTGCAATCAGGAATTTTATTTTGCCAGTGGGGTGGGCTGGGTTGCAGTGGGAAGAATTTTAAGTTGGCCAGACTGGGGTGGATTTTCACAGAGGTGGCCAGGGCATCTCCCTGGCATGTCCACCTGCTAAAGCCCAGGTGTTGAGGTCCCTGCTCCAAAGCTTGGGGGCGCTAGAGCTTCTAAGTTAAACCATTGCAAAAAATGTTCATGTGGAAAAACAATGTGCTTTTTTTTTCCTCCCTTAGCCTTCCTCTCTGAAATGGCCTGAACCATTCTGAGCTGAAACTTTCCAAAAAACTTCAGCCTGAGGCAGATGCCTGTCCTGGGAAACTTCAGCTTGAATGGTTAAAGTTTGGCAAAATTATAAGCAACTGAAAACAGGGCCTTATAATGTAAAATGTTTAGGCACCCATAACTAGGTGGCGCTACCAGCTCTGGCTGTGTGTACATCTACAGTCAAGTGGACAGAGGTGTCATTTTCAGCTTGAGTAGACCTACCCACCCCAGTGTGG